GATAATGTGATCAGCGAGGGCGACATCTTCTTTTGATTTGGTAACTGTTTTACGGCGCTCGCAATTGCATATTTGAGTGCGCGGGACACATTAACATTTTCAGTTGGAAGGAAATTTTGAATTTTGCATGGTGGCGGCTGATGCCTACTCTTATCGATTTTGGACCACCAAGGGATCTTTAACGGGCGCAACTTGCACAAGGGACCTCTGAGATTTTTCGCCCTTGTCCGTAAAGGCTAGGTGTAGATCTCTCCTACCATATGATCAGGGGTGTGGCTGAAAGACAACAGTAAAAGGGAGCCAAGGAGTAGTAGTAGAAAGGCTGCAGAAAGAGTCAGGAGCCCAGAGGAGGGGGCAGTGGAGGTGAGGGGGTGGGGGCAGAAAGTGGAGACGAAAGCAGACGACAGAACATTGTTAGAGAGCTGGAAAGGAAGTGAAAGGAGGAAATTTTGGAGAACAAAATGTTCCATGGGCGTCCAGTTTCGAACCCACGACTTATTGAATGAAAAGCGAACACCTTAACCTCTACACCACAAAACTTTTTGTGGTCTTTTTTTTGGGGGGGGGGGGGCGGTAGTCTTCCCCCAGCGACACCTCACCGTATAAGCGACACCTCACCCCCGGTGACACCTCACCGTATAAGCGACAGATCGAGTCATGTAAAGAAGATAACGTTTCCTTTGCTCTCCGTCCACTTCATACACCATTATTGGAGTTAGTCGTCAAATCAAAAGCCCCGATATTCTAAATAACTCTCCAAAGCAGAAAACTGGTCTGATCAGACCCGTGCAAACCCAACAATCAGCATGAGCGACATTTCCAGCACAACAAACACGCACGAAAAATGTTAAAAGTATCCAAACTTTATCATAATATGTGAGGCATTGTGGTGGAATCAGGCTCTCGTCAATTTTTGTGCTTGTGGAGTTACTGGTATCATCTTAAAGCTTGTTCACTTGTCGTCATTTGGATGAAAAATATATCCATTTATCTTGAATACAAGTAGAGATATTTGAGAATGAAGGAGGTGGGGGTCACCTGTTTTGAGAGGTAAAATTAGTGAGAAAATGGCCGCCAAACATAAGTTATTTCCTTAGCTAAAGAGTCCGTGGTAACTGAAAATTAAAACTTTTTGTGCCTTTAATCAACGTTTTTCAGGAAAAATCCACACAGAAATTAGTTCTTTAACGGGCATGAAAGGTGTTCAGCTAAAAAAAAAAAAATGATAAAAATTCAAAAACTTGCGGAAAAATGCAAGTTCTTTCACTTTGATTATTTTGACGAGAGCCTGATTCCACCACGCTGCCTCACATATACCATGGTGTTTTTTTATGTCACCGCTGATAGTGTAGAATTATCATTCAATACAACTGACAACTTAAAAGACAGTAAATGTACATTGTAAGACCATTTAGCAACAACACACACATAAACACACACACACATGCACACAAGCACACGCGCACTCACACACACTCACACACACACACTCACACACACACACACACACACACACACACACACACACACACACACACACACACACACACGTATACGCATACGCACACGCACACACATACGCACACTCATAAATACACACAACTCACAGACCAACACAAATTCTCATACCTACAAAAACTACTGTCAGGGGACAGCGTTAAATAATTGTGTACATTTTCTGTCTTTTGATCAATTTGTCAGTTGTATCGAATGATAATTCTGCACAGTTCAGCGCTTATAAAGCCTTCTATGGATTAGACGCTACATAAATTCACATCAGCTGTGTCGTTCTTTATTGATCTCGTCTCAGGCACACTATATTTCGACAACCCCTCTTGACACATTAGCTTCAGAGTTAAGATCTTCACGACCATCACATGACATCACATGCTGGCAAAAAAGCAAGAGGGACAGAGGGATAAAACAGAGAAATGGTAAAAAGGTTATCCTTACCAGTGGCACCCCCCCCCCCTCAAAATGGTAAAAAGGTTATCCTTACCAGTGGCACCCCCCCCCCCTCAACTGCACTGTCAAAACTTCCACCACGATGCAATACCTCCACAAATCTAGCCCATATACATATTTTTGGTAAACATCATCTTTCTGAACTCTCACGAGTTGTAAGCCTTGCTTTGTTGCAGCAACTTAATCAAAGTTTAAAAGATTTGTAAACGTTAGCACTTTCAGCATATGTTTAAACAGATAGGTTTTAAGCAACAAGCATGTCTTGTATATCCAGTAAGTTTTCAGAAAATAAAGGGTTGGTATAGAGGATGCAGTAGTTATACAGGCAAGCAGATATTTCAGATAAGAGAGGAAAACCAAACAACAACAAAAACAAAACAAAACCCAACAATTTAGCATCTCGCCAGTAGACATGCTGACTTTTCAGAGCTCAAAGACACTTTACAGGAAATTTTTCTTACTCAAGAACTGATCAGTTATCAATTTGCCCAACCCTGTTACCTGCGAAGGACTAAGTGACCCATCAAGCAAATACTCAGATACGTCTATTTCTCTTCACGATGTGGGTGGAAAAACTGTTGCTCTCAAGGTATTTGTTATCTCCTAAAGACATAATTCTTTACTTCACCTGCTTTGTCATTGACTGATCAACCAAGTTACCAACTGAAGCGGTGGCTGTCATGAATAGCAAGTCGCACTCAAATTTTTCTCTATGTATCTCAAGTGTGAAAAGTCATCCTAGGTACCTAGTTTTCTTTCAAGATTGGTCATTGTAGCAGTTAGCACTCATTTCTGCACTGTAAGGTTATAGAAGAGGCATGACATCTCCATATAAGATCTACCTCCAATAGGAAGCAAGCTCAGGGAGCCGAAGGTAAAAAATCCCAAGACAATTAAAAGCATGAACCACTGCATATATATATATATATATGCCATATGATCACTAAGATCAGGCGACCAGTATCTTTTACGAGTTCCTAGAAAAGGCGGTAAAAAATTAGCCAAAAGATCGTTCGCCCACCTT